CCATCATTGGTGTCCGTGGGAGGAATAGCACCCCATCATTGGTGTCCGTGGGAGGAATAGCGCTCCATCATTGGTGTCCATGTCAGAGCGAGGAATCGTGCCCCATCATTGGAATACCATACCATATTGAAATCAAATCTGATGTTTTTTAATTTTTATTTGGTGTGCGTTGGAAGAGGGGTAGTCTTATACGACGAGTATAGCCCAAACCCTATATTTTAACAGGAAAAGTAGGGGGTCGTCTTATACGCCCAGTCTTATACACCGGCAATTACGGTAATCTGTCCATCGTTCACCAGTAGCAATAACTACCACCATCTGATTGGCTAATTCTGGATACTATATTGTATATTTAATTTTGAATTTTTTATTTATGATTGATTAGTCACTTATACAGTTTAACCACCTGACCTCCTCTTCATGAGCATTTTTGATATTCAGCACTGTGCTAATTTAACTGGCAATTGCTCGGCCATGCAACACTGTACCCAAATGAAATTTATATAATTTTTTTCACACAAATAGAGATTTCTTTTGGTGGTATTTAATCACCACTAGGTTTTTACATTTGTTATTATATAAATAATAAAGACCAATTTTTTTATAAAAAAAAAAAACCAATATTTTCTACTCTGTTTTAAAATATGTCCAATTAAAAAAAAAATTAAAAATCAAATTTCTTCATAAACTTAGGCCAAAATGTATTCTGCTATATGTCTTTGGTAAAAAAAAAAAATGCCAGTGAGTGTATATTAATTGGTTCGTGTGAAAGTTATGGCATCCACAAGCTTTGGTATATATACTGGAACTTACACACCTATGACCAGAGATCAGTGATAATACTGTACACTGTACTAACTGCACTGTCTGGGAATGGGTTAACATCAAGGGGCACATAAGGGGATTAACTGAGTATGAGAGTAATGTGTGTAATATATGCTGCTTTTACTTACAGATCTGGCTGGTTTTAATAAACAGGTCACTGATCAATGTAAAGAGATCTGTGTGTTTGTAAACTGTGATTGCTGTGATTGGCTATAGTCGATCAGCAGGTCTCATAATCATTGGCTGGGACCTGCTGACAAAATCTCGCTGTTGCCCCTAACCTGGAACAGGCTGGATAATGTACTTGTATGTGATCTGGCCTGCCTGTGCTGTCTGCCTGAAGTAAATGTACTGTGGTTGGGCAGGAAGAAGTTAAGCACAATGTTTCCTGGTAAATTAATGAATTAAATCCGAACTGAACCATGTGAATCTCCAAAAATTTCACAGCTCAGGTACTACACAGATTCTCTGTGAAAAATCGGTATCTATGATTTAATAGCTGCACTTAATTGTTAATTTCCAAAAAGAAACACCAGTTTGATCCCTCCACTGGCTTCCACTCGCCCAACGAAAAAAAAATTCAAAATACTAACAACAACTAACAAAGCCATCCAAAACTCTGCCACCAGCTACATCAACGACCTGGTCTCAAAATATCAACCAAACCGCTTTCTTCGATCCTCCCAAGTCCTGTGTCACCTCCTCCCATGTTCTCCTCCAGGACTTCTCCCAAGCATCTCCCATCCTATGGAACTCCCTAACCCAATCTGTCCTGCTGTCTCCTAATCTATCCACCTTTAGACGTTCCCTGAAAACCTTTCTCTTTAAAGAAGCCTATCCTGCTTCTACCTAGTAAACCGACATTTATTTCATCCATCAGTTCGTCCCCCCACAGCTATTTGTATCACTCAACCCTTCCTCCTAGATTGTAAGCTCTAACGAGCAGGGCCCTCTGTTTCCTCTTCTACCAAATTTTATTGCAACTGTAATGTCTACCTTCATTTTGTAAAGCACTGCGCAAAATGTTAGCGCTTTATAAATCCTGTATAATAATAATAACTAGAAAATCTACAATTTCTGGGGAAATTGTGTGAAGTGTTCTTGCCTCCACCAGTAGTGTGCAAATGGAGTGGGCGGAGTAGCTTTTGTCACTCTGCTGGCTGCTGACAAGCCTGGGTTCCTATGGCAACTCACTGTACAGCAAGGGGAGAGGTTAAAAACACACTGCTCAAAGTTCCTCACTTCACTGGCAGTTGCCATCTTCAAACAGTTGTAGTTTTAAAACTATAAATCCTACAGTGGACTCCTGATCACCACTGGGGGGGGGGGGGGTGAAGCCTGAACATGGTGGCTGCGGAGGGCTCGATGTAGAAGCTCTTTGACAGGCTCCGCTATCCTGCCTCCCCAGGAGCCCTCTAGACGTAGTAGAGAGTCGGGAGACCTACCTCTGACCGGGGGATTTCGGCGGAAGAGTGTAGGTGCCGAGGCGAGAAGGACTGGGAGCCGGAGACGGAGTTCGGTATGCCCGGGAACCGGTGGATCAGTGAGCCGGTTTGCCGAATGACAGGAGAGCGGTGTTACCACGTGATTTGCTGCTAAGGAGTAGTGGGAGGAGAGGAAGCCGGCCGGCGTCCTGAGAGAGGAAGGAAACGCCGGTTTGCTCCTTAGCCTGTGCCCTGGCTTATCGCTCGGTCCAGAGGGGGGACTTGTGCCCTGGCATTTTTCCACGATTAGACCCCTGTTGGAGTGGGACCAGAAAAACAAGAAGAACCCTGTGGAATCCCCCTAAAGATGACATTAATAGGAAGAGATGGACACCTATAGCCCAGAGTCGCCCTGTGGAAAAGGAAGAGAGAGGAGGGTGAGTGAGAACGGCTGGAGTTCATTATAAATATTAGATTGTGCTGTTTAGAAGAGCAGGGGGTGAAGGAGAGAAGGGGTGATTCCCAGGGGTCATGAAGGAGTGAAAAAAGAAGAGGATTAAGTAATTTTAAAAAGGAGAATATTTGGACAAACAGCTGGGCAAGGCTGAGACTCTAGTATATACAGTGGGGCAAAAAAGTATTTAGTCAGCCACCAACTGTGCAAGTTCTCCCACTTAAAAAGATAAGAGAGTCCTGTAATTGTCATCATAGGTAGACCTCAACTATGAGAGACAAAATGAGAAAAAAAATCCACACAATCACATTGGCTGATTTGGAAAGAATTTATTTGCAAATTATGGTGGAAAATAAGTATTTGGTCAATATCAAAAGTTCATCTCAATACTTTGTTATATATCCTTTGTTGGCAATGACAGAGGTCAAATGTGTCCTGTAAGTCTTCACAAGGTTGGCACACACTGTTGATGGTATGTTGGCCCATTCCTCCATGCAGATCTCCTCTAGAGCAGTGATGTTTTGGGGCTGTCGCTGGGCAACACGGACTTTCAACTCCCTCCAATGGTTTTCTATGGGGTTGAGATCTGGAGACTGGCTAGGCCACTCCAGGACCTTGAAATGCTTCTTACGAAGCCACTCCTTCGTTGCCCAGGCGGTATGTTTGGGATCATTGTCATGTTGGAAGACCCAGCCACGTTTCATCTTCAATGCCCTTGCTGATGGAAGGAGGTTTGCACTCAAAATCTCACGATACATGGCCCCATTCATTCTTTCCTGTACATGGATCAGTCGTCCTGGTCCCTTTGCGGAGAAACAGCCCCAACGCATGATGTTGCCACCCCATGCTTCACAGTAGGTATGGTGTTCTTTGGATGCAATTCAGCATTCTCTCTCCTCCATACACGACGAGTTGTGTTTCTACCAAACAGTTCTATTTTGGTTTCATCTGACCATATGACTTTCTCCCAATCCTCTTCTGGATCATCCAAATGCTCTCTAGCAAACTTCAGACGGGCCCAGACATGTACTGGCTTAAGCAGGGGGACACGTCTGGCACTGCAGGATCTGAGTGTCAGGGCTCCAGGTATGACCAGAGGTCATTATCATACTCCTTCAGAGTCTGATAAGCATAGTCTTTGTCATCAAACACTAGCAGAGATAAATACACCACCTCATCAAGATCCATCCTTCCCAGCAACAATAAGCCAAGATGGCTTCCCTGTGCAGCCACTTCTGGTCAGGATTGGCCTTGGTGTAATGTCAGGGCTCCAGGTATGACCAGAGGTGTGTGGACTGACACAGGGAAACGCAGGCTTCAGATATGGTATAAACAATATAATTTATTAAGACTAACAATACAAAACGCAGTGCAAAACTAAACATAAACACAGTGCAAACAAACCAAACCAACCCACCCACAGATAACAATACATACAATGCAAGAGTCATCAGGCAGGCCAGGTCAGTAGCAAACAGGCAAACGGAGTACCAGGAACAGGCAGGAGAGTGGTTGAGGTCACAAGCTGGGTTCAGTAACTCACGGGCAGTGCGGTGCAGAGGGTCAGGCAGAGAATGGTCAGGGTCACAAGCCAGGGATCAAGCAGGAGAAGTCAGCAGAGGTCAGGATCAGGCAGGGTCGGCAACAAGTCAGACAGGAACAGGAATACAGGATACAAGATACAGGGGCCCATGGAAGCACACACTAAGGCCTTGACTGTGAGTCTGGCCATTCCTTAAATGCAACCCCTGCAATCAGCTTCAGGTGTTTGGCTGACTGCAGGGGTGAGTCTCTGATTGCTGAGAGCACCCGCTGGTCAGCTCTGGTACTGCAGCCCACAAGGCAGGTGAGTCCCACCATTATTGGCAAGTCCATTCCTGACAGTACCCCCCCTCAAGGAGCGGCCTCAGGACGCTCCAAACAGTCCTAGCTGGGCAAAAAGTTTCACCGCTCAGTCCGGTAACTGGCGGGATATCAAAGGCTGGCACATCTGGCTGGGCACTGGACAGAGGCACATCGGGCTGGGCATCGGACAGAGGCACATTGGGCTGGGCACCGGACAGAGGCACATTGGGCTGGGCACCGGACAGAGGCACATCGGGCTGGGCACCGGACAGAGGCACATCGGGCTGGGCACCGGACAGAGGCACATCGGGCTGGGCACCGGACAGAGGCACATCGGGCTGGGCACCGGACAGAGGCACATCGGGCTGGGCACCGGACAGAGGCACATCGGGCTGGGCACCGGACAGAGGCACATCGGGCTGGGCACCGGACAGAGGCACATCGGGCTGGACACCGGACAGAGGCACATCGGGCTGGACACCGGACAGAGGCACATCGGGCTGGACACCGGATCACCAGGCGGAGCAGTGGGCACTGGGCCACCAGGCGGAGCAGCAGGCACCGCGCCACCAGGCAGGGCAGCAGGCACCGGGCCACCAGGCGGAGGCAGCAGGCACCGGGCCACCAGGCGGAGCAGCAGGCACCGGGTCACCAGGCGGAGCGGCAGGCATCGGGCCACCAGGCATCAGGTCATCTGGCTGACAGCGGGCACCGAGTCATCTGGCAAGGCACCAGGCATGACAGCTGGCTCTGAGTCAACTGGCACGACAGTGGGCACCGGGTCACCAGGCATCGGGTCATCTGGCTCGACACTGGGCACCGGGTCATCTGGCATCGGGTCATCTGGCATCAGGTCATCTGGCTCGACAGCGAGTACCGGGTCATCAGGCATTGGATCGTCTGGCTCGACAGCGGGCATCGGGCATCGGGTCACCAGGTATGACAGCGGGCACTGGGTCATCAGGCATTGGATCGTCTGGCTCGACAGTGGGCATCGGGTCACCAGGCATGACAGCGGGCACTGGGTCATCAGGCATTGGATCGTCTGGCTCGACAGCGGGCATCGGGTCACCAGGTCATTTGGCTCGACAGCAGGCACCGAGTCATCTGGCAAGACAGTGGGCACCGAGTCATCAGGCACGGCAGCGGGCATCGGGTCACCAGGCATCAGGTCATCTGGCTCGACAGCTGGCATTGGGTCATCAGGCACGACAGCGGGCATCGGCTGGGTAGAGACATCAGGCTGAATTGCGGGTGCCGAGGCACCAGGCTGAACCACAGAAGGTGGGTTCTCAGACGGCAGGCTGACCGAATGGATACTGGCAGGATGGTACTGGTTGGAAAGAATTTTCGCTTTTTTTCTGGTTTTAGTTACTGGAGCACTGTAAGTAAACGCAGGTCTGTAAACGAATGGAGCAGCTGAAGACAGAGACGAGCTGGAGGATGGAACAGAGGAGGGAGCAGTTGCTACAGAGGACTTCTTTACAGGGTTAAAGAAAGGATAGGTGCAGCGAGTGGGAGCAGGGGACTGGTATGTGGTAGTTAGCAGAGTATACTGGGCCGTCACTGGGGGTGCTGTCGGGGATGCAGGAAGAGTGCCTTGAGCAGAGGAAATCTGTAGTACTGCAGTACTGGTTGAACAAAACTCAGCTTACACATAGCCTGTCTGACCAAAGACTGCACTGCGTTTATGCAATCCATAAGCACATGTGATGAACAAGCTGCATAATGCTCATGGAAGCAATCTGGATCATCCTCCAACAACCATACCAGTGATTCCACTTGATCCACACTAAATGGGAGAAAAAAGTCATTCCTGCTTTCAGGGGTACAGGACCGAGCCAACTCAGCACAAACCTGGATCAATGGCTGCACCTCAGAAAACTCTGTGCCCTGATCTACTAGGCAATGAGCGATCCTTATACACTCTAGTAGTTGATCCCTGGTATACTCCTTCAGAGTCTGATAAGCATAGTCTTTGTCATCAAACACTAGCAGAGATAAATACACCACCTCATCAAGATCCATCCTTCCCAGCAACAATAAGCCAAGATGGCTTCCCTGTGCAGCCACTTCTGGTCAGGATTGGCCTTGGTGTAATGTCAGGGCTCCAGGTATGACCAGAGGTGTGTGGACTGACACAGGGAAACGCAGGCTTCAGATATGGTATAAACAATATAATTTATTAAGACTAACAATACAAAACGCAGTGCAAAACTAAACATAAACACAGTGCAAACAAACCAAACCAACCCACCCACAGATAACAATACATACAATGCAAGAGTCGTCAGGCAGGCCGGGTCAGTAGCAAACGGGCAAACGGAGTACCAGGAACAGGCGAGAGAGTGGTCGAGGTCACAAGCTGGGTTCAGTAACTCACGGACTGTGCGGTGCAGAGGGTCAGGCAGAGAATGGTCAGGGTCACAAGCCAGGGATCAAGCAGGAGAAGTCAGCAGAGGTCAGGATCAGGCAGGGTCGGCAACAAGTCAGACAGGAACAGGAATACAGGATACAAGATACAGGGGCCCATGGAAGCACACACCAAGGCCTTGACTGTGAGTCTGGCCATTCCTTAAATACAACCCCTGCAATCAGCTTCAGGTGTTTGGCTGGCTGACTGCAGGGGTGAGTCTCTGATTGCTGAGAGCACCCGCTGGCCAGCCCTGGTACTGCAGCCCACAAGGCAGGTGAGTCTCACCATTATTGGCAAGTCCATTCCTGACACTGCGTCCCTGGCGGCGTAGTGTGTTACTGATGGTAGCCTTTGTTACGTTGGTCCCAGCTCTCTGCAGGTCATTCACTAGGTCCCCCCGTGTGGTCCTGGGATTTTTGCTCACCGTTCTTGTGATCATTTTGACCCTACGGGGTGAGATCTTGCGTGGAGCCCCAGATCGAGGGAGATTATCAGTGGTCTTGTATGTTTTCCATTTTCTAATTATTGCTCCCTCAGTTGATTTGTTCACGCCAAGCTGCTTGCCTATTGCAGATTCAGTCTTCCCAGCCTGGTGTAGGTCTACAATTTTGTTTCTGGTGTCCTTCAAAAGCTCTTTGGTCTTCACCATAGTGGAGTTTGGAGTGTGACTGTTTGAGGTTGTGGACAGGTGTCTTTTATACTGATAACAAGTTCAAACAGGTGCCATTGATACAGGTAATGAGTGCAGGACAGAGGAGCCTCTTAAAGAAGAAGTTACAGGTCTGTGAGAGCCAGAAATCTTGCTTGTTTGTAGGTGACCAAATACTTATTTTCCACCATAATTTGAAAATAAATTCTTTCCAAATCAGCCAATGTGATTGTCTGAATTTTTTTTCTCATTTTGTCTCTCATAGTTGAGGTCTACCTATGATGCCAATTTCAGGCCTCTCTCATCTTAAGTGGGAAAACTTGCACAATTGGTGGCTGACTAAATACTTTTTTGCCCCACTGTACTTGAATAATTTTTCTATTCAAAGGTTACAGAGGAGGTTAAGATCCATAGAAGATATGAAGAACAACAAGTGTTAAAGGAAGTGGGCTTAAAGGGGCCCAAACAGGTACGATTAAAAAATACACGTCCCAGGGCAGTGTGACCCCAGAAAGAGCCCAAGGTGTAAAGGAAAAAGGAGAAGGGGACATTAGTCTGGAAAATAGCCCTAGATTATCGTTGGGCCTGAATGCTAGCAGTCAACAAATAACAGGAAATATGGAGATGAGAGAAATTGAAAATGAACTACAAGTACCGAATAAAAAAGAGATGGCGGGAATGTTTAAAGATTTAGAGAAAACAATTAAACAAGAAATGGCTACTATACGAAATGATTTGGGGCAGCTGCTATTGAGAGTGGAAGAAACTGAGGAGAAAGTCAGAAATCAGGCCCAAAACATTTCTGAAGTAGAAAAGAAGATAATTAACATGGAGAAAGTTCAGAAAAAAATTGCTGTATAGGATTGAAGTACAGGAAAATAGGGACAGGAGGAGTAACCTCAGGATACGTGGAGCCCCAGAGTGTGCAAAGGGGGAAACATTGCAAGAACTAGTAGGTAAAATCTTAAACAGCATAATGGACAGACCTGATACAGAGACGAGTAAATTGGATGGAGTCTGGAGAATAGGAAAACAACAGGGTACTGAGAAGAGAAATTCGAGAGATATAATTGTACAATTCCATAAGTATAGTGATAAAGATGAGATCTGAAGGAAGATCAAAGGAAAAACAACAATTAAATATGGAGAAATTGACATTCAGATTTTTGCAGACTTAACATCGGAGACACTGTGGAGAAGGAGATCTTTGAAACCCCTGTTAGAGCAGATGAGAAAGAAAAATGTGTTCTATAGATGGGGGATCCCAGAGTGCCTAATTGGATGGAAAAATGTGGTTACAGCTTATTTGAGATATCCGGAGGACTTGAGAGACATCTGTGAAAGACTGGAGTTGCAAAGAATGGAGATTGCTGGATGGGGGGAAGAATACAGAGAAACAGGAGTCACAATCAAGAGGACTGGCAATCTGTTAGAGGGGGAAGGTAGCGGCAGGGGGGGTGTGGAGGAAAAGAGGAGAATTTTTTTTTTCTTTCTTCTCTCTCTCCCCACCCTCCTTCTCCCTCCTAAAGATATATCCTCTAGAAGTTCACTCCTGGGGGTCTGAGGAAAATTAGAGAATTTATTAGATAGATGGAGGGTAGTGGGGAGGAAGGAGGGAGGAGGAGCTGTCCATGGACGGAGTTAAACCCCAGGGTTTGAAATCAAAAGTGGCGATTAGGTCCACAAATGATTAATAGGCATATTAGAAGCCTAAAGGTGGGAAAAGGTGAGGGGGGAGGGAGATGGGTGGGTGGGGGGAGTGGGGGGGGGGGGAAGGGGTCTAGGTTTAATACTCTGCAGGATTGAGGGAGATACTAGAGCAAAGAAAAAGAGGAGAGGGGAAGGAGGAGAAGAAGAAAGATTTAAGATGGATGGAAGAGTTACAAGTTATCACTTATAATGTAAATGGATTGAATTGTCCTGGGAAAAGATTTAGGCTATTTAAAGAGCTACATTATAGAGCATCATCAGTGGTCTTCTTGCAAGAGACACATTTTGAGATACAATCAAAGGTTAAGTTAAAATCTAGATATTATCCAACATGGTATTATGCAGATTCCCCAATTAAGAGAGCAAAAGGGGTGGCAATAGGGTTTGCAAAAAATATAAGGTTTGAGCTGGAGGATGGAAAAGTAGACCCAGAGGGGAGATATCTGTTTTTGAAAGGTAAATTGCAGGAGGTGGAGTGTACAGTAGCTAACATATATTGCCCAAACAAGAAGCCGGAGATGTACTTGAAAAGTGTGCTAAAAAAAATTGATGGACTTTAAAAAGGGTCGTTTTATACTGGCTGGAGATTTTAATTTTTGTATGGACCCACAAAAGGATGCAACCTCTTCTGTGCAGAGAGAGAGGGGTAGGTCTCTGAGATTACTAAAGAAAGTGATCCATGAGTTCCAATTGGTGGATACATGGAGAATTATGCATATGAAGGATAGAGACTATACTTTCTACTCAAATGCACATGAGATGTATTCGAGGTTGGATTATATATTGATAGATCATCGATTTATTGAGTTTTTGGTTAAAGTAGAAATAGGAGCAATGTCTTTTTCGGATCATGCCCCTGTTATGTTGAAAATGGGATGGGGAAGGGGGGAAGACAGATGGTATAGGTTGGAGGTTGAATGAGGCACTTCTCCTGGAGAAAGATACTGCCCAGAAGATTGGAGAAGAAATTGAGAGATTTTTTTAAAGAGAATGAGACTGAGGAGGTGTCGATAGCTACAGTGTGGGAGTCTCATAAGGTATATATAAAGAGGTATTTTGATTGTGATAGGGGCAAAGAAAGAAAAGAGAAAGGAGAGAGTAAATCAGCGGGCTCTTAAAAGAAATATTTGACCTGGAACAGATACACAAAAATAGTATAGAAAAAGAAATAAAGCAGAAAATAACAAAAAAGAAAGAAGAACTGGAGACTATAATGGAGGAGGAGAGAAGGAGAGTCTATAATAAAGTGTTAAGTGAGAGGTAAAGATGGGGAGATATGCCAGGAAAATATTTAATGAGAGCCCTAAGGAAAAGAAAAATGGGAATTATATTGAAAAAATAAAAAGCTCCAAGGGAGAAATAGTTCACTCAAATAAGGAGATTGCTAAAGTGTTGATGGAATATTATAGAAAGTTGTATAACATCAGTTCCAATGATTCTGTACACAATACTGAAACTGAAAACAGGGAAAAAAGAAGGATATATCTAAAAAATGCGGGTTTACCGCAATTAAAAGAAGCACAATTAAAATCTTTAGATGCAGAAATTACACAAGAAGAAATAAAAGCAGCATTAAAAACACAGAGATGGGGAAAAGTCCAGGTCCAGACGGCTACACAGTGAGGTACTATAAAAGATTTAGTGACTT